GCTCCACCTGTTCATAACCTCTTACGTACAAGGCCAGCCACGTGGATGACAGGTTGAGCGCTGGCTGCCCCCATCCCCGTGTGTCACAAGGACCCACTTGCACGCAGCCAAAGGCAAAGAGGTAAAGAAGGGGAGGAGGAAACCAAACCTGACAGGGAAAGAAAGATAGGGAAAGAAAGATAATCCAATTATCACAACGCAAATAATATATATATATATATAGCGAACAAGATAACACACCCACAACCCCACTCATGGGTAGGTGAGGATCTGACCTCTCCTATAGGATGAGTATGGTCACCTCCATGAAGTAGCTGATTCCTTTGGTATGAGTGAGTTTTATTTTGGTTGGTCGCATGTTTTTTGGCCAGAATCCTAGTCTTGGGCAGACTGGACCCTCGAAGCACTGTTGTTTTGGACCCGGTTTTCAATTGAACCACCAGTACCTTTCCCGGCTTGAAAAAAAATACTGTCGCCTTTGCGCGGAAGTTCAGCTGGGGTCCTTCGGGACATCCGTTAAAATTGGAACGATACAGAGAGAGAAGATTAGCATGGCCCCTGCGATACGCATAAATCGAGAAACGGTCCAAATTTTTATTGTTTGTCTGATTGCTGGTGGCGTCAGCCAGATACATCCATGTCGATTTGTTTTTCTTTGGTGCGCAGGGCGAACTTGGGCCTGCAGCCTATATATGGGAAAGATACTGCGGGTTCTGCGCATTGGAATGACAGTTGAAGCCCCTGCGGAACTAAATTGTAGGCAGTCTAACCCTGGTCATTTTCTTTGGTTCGGTTTCACCACTCACTTTTTCAGAGGAACATTCACGATTTCCCACCCCTTTCACTTTGGGAAAAGTTATAGATTAGCCCCTGCCCACCTTTTGTACTTTTTTTACCTGGGCCCCTGATGTGTCAGAGGCCCCGAAAGGCTTGAGGTGCGGGGGTTATCCATAACTTTTGCCACCAGCTTTTGGGGGCCTGTAGAACGTTTTGCCATGGTATGGGGGCAAACGAGTGCAAAAGTTTTGGTGTGGGAGGGATGTATAACTTTTCCCTTTCACTTGTTCTGACCCTGTGCTGGATCCTGGGTGTATTTTGGCCATTGGGTGCGGGAAAAGGAAGATGTTTTCAGGATGGTTCGTAACAATGTCTTAGAGCCATACATGCAGCACATCCACATGTGCTGCACCGCGCACACGCACCGCAATGTGCACAGCACGCGCACCCCAAAACAAGGGTTCGAGCGGAAAAAAAAGGACGGAAGTACGTTTATGTCACATGGTTGTTTGTAGTTGGCAGAAAAAACAGGCAGTCTGCAACCTTTTCATGGCCTGAGTTTGAAAAGGCGGTCGTAACACAGGCCGGCAGTGGTGGAAGGGCGTCAGGCCTATGGTTGTGGCCCATGATTGAGTCGAATGTTTTTTCGAATAAGTTTGGGGGCATACGGGAAACTTGGGTAGAATGTTTAACAGGGTGGGATAAATATTTTCTGGCACCGGTGGAAGGGCATCAGGCCTATGGTTGTGGCCCATGATTGAGTTTGGCTGCGCAGGGGGCACAGGGTTTTTGTGTTTAAAAAAGTTGGCAGATTTTTTTTTCGGTAGGCCTGTATGTAAACCACCAGTACCTACCGGTTGTCAAGGCCCGTGGCTCAGGCTAACGGTAGCCCGGTCATTGCCGAGCCTCGGACTTTATTGCCGAGCCTCGGACAACCGGTAGTACACAATGGGAAAAAAAAA